AAAGTCCAGTAAAGTCAACAAAAGGAAAGAGGTATCGGCCGAGTTTAAAAATTCACTGGGATGAACTATCTAACAGTCAAATAAGGATTAAATGCAGAATTGTTAGTCAACCCTGGTAAAACCAAAGATACCTTCAAACCGGTAAGTTAAATGACTTAAACGTAACGGCCATAGCCTCAGTCTTGACCATTAATGGTGAATTAGGCGGGATGGATGGAGATTAAACATGGTCTTGGAATATAAAACAAGAACAAAGACAAAGAGCAAAGACTTTTCTTGACACAATTTTTACTCACACTCTTCTTTCAACTACAATCTAGCTCTTAGCACAAACACTTGTCTTTTCTTTGTTCTTGTTCTTGTAAATTCTCTCGAAGATTGTAATACAAAAATACAGGTCACTTTGCAAAAAACTTGTCCAAAACTCTATCGAATCTTGCTTATTTTGACCGAGCAACAAACTCATTGTTTATTGATCGATAAGTCTTTTGGATTTTTTCCTCTTGAAGATTGACCCAAGACACTTCTATATTTACTATTTACAAATTTAGATGGTTGTATTTCGAGCCACACAAATATATAGAATGACGAGATAGAGAGAGAGAACATGAGATAAGCTTTGGCATTCTAACCTACTATAATGCTTAGCAAAGGAAAACAAAAACTACTATAATGTTTAAAAAAGTTGATTCGTTATATATTGATGAATCTAAAAAAAGAAATCGTGCTATATGAAAGGGTAGAATATATGTACACCATCCACTTCTATAAGAAGGAAAAATTTCATATGAATATAAAGATAGCTTCTGAAGAACATATTCCATTGATGTTACAAAGAGAGGGCAACAAAAGGTGAAAGAGGACAATTATTGCAAGTGTGACCACTATCCACTAAGGTAAGATAAAGATATATATTCGTAAACCTAGAAAACTATTATGTCACCGGTCGAAGAGAATCTAAATCGTCTTTTAAGATCTCAATTTATCAATCAAAATTCCTTTTTACCGTTTTCGTTACAATTTCATTTATGTCACCATTCGGTTTTGTATAATCCCAAAAAAAAAATTACCGTCACGGCCTTGCGGGAACAGGTTATTTTCGTTGACCAACAGGATAAAAAATTCTGTTGACCAACGGTTTATTAATGTTTTTTTACCAACCAAAAATATGGAGTTCGAGTTCCTGAAAATATATATTAACAAAGACAAATTTACTGGAGATTTTCAGTGTTGTGTAAGTAGAAACTTGTTATAGTGTCGCATCTCAATAATCAAATTGTCCATCTTTGGTGTAGACAGAATTTTTTTTTCATAAAATCATCCATGTAATTTTTAAATATAATAATTCAGATGACAAGAAATTGACATTTATATATATATTTTTAAAAAAAAACTGTGGGAATTATTTAGGTTCTGGATTGTACTCCTCTGAGTATATAAAAAACAACATTTTGGATTTCTATGCCAATGGTCTAGTGATTTTTGTAATTTTGTTCGGTTTGATAATCCATGAGAGTCTATCATATATATTATAAGTAAAGTAAATTTTTGATTTCCAGCTCTCTCATTGATTTTGGAGGTGGTTAATTATCATCTTGTCCCTCATTAAAAAGTCTATATTAGCATTTAACTTGATTCAAATTAAGTTTAGTTATTAGTTTTTTACTCGGTTCAAATTAAATTTAGTTAAAATTTAATAATCTTAGTAAAATATAATCTTATCTTTAAATTAAATATATTTTAAAATAAAAAAATCGACTATAGTTTTTTAAAATCTACCATTTTTTAATTAAAAAATTATTAGTTTCTTAATATATATATATATATATATATATATATTTAAAAAGGACCATTATTTTCTATTATTTTCTTAATATATTTTTTAAAAACGAAAATTATTTTCTATACACCTCAATCATTGTTTTAATTAAAAACAAACTATTACTTTATTAATCTACTTTTTTTTTAAAAAACGACCATAGTTTTCTATACATCTCAATTATTGTTTTAATTAAAAAAAAACACCCAAAAATCGAAAATTTAAGAGTACCAAAAAAAAACCCCTAAACTTTTCCATTCACTCACCTCATCTTTAATTAACAATTAATCTCCAATATATTATTTAAATAGATATATACATGCTACAAGTTATTATCCTTACAAATATCGTTTATGCTTTTTATTTTATAAGTATAAATACGTAGAGAACAAAACATGGTCAAAATAAATATTTCACTGATCAATAATATTCTTCTGTTATTCTGTTCTCATTACGTCTTTAGTTTTCTAAACCAAAAACCCCAACTTGATTTGGCTAAACACGTTTCTGCTTCCTTTCTCATTGTTTTGCAACTGAATATGATGCCAAAAGGTATAGTTTTCTTTTAACTTTATCTTTGATTCTGTTCCGTGCTATTAATCATAATTGAAATCCATTAATATGTGTTCTTTCATAATTATAGGGTTCTGATTATTTGCCGGTGCATCTTCCTTTACCACAAAATTCCATCTATGATGATGTCAACGTGTCTGACTCGAAGAACAAAAGCAAATTGATATCTTGGATGGAATGCAATCAACTTAATCCAGCGGCAATGACATTGTTATATTCCAACATCCTTTCTAGATGGGTATGGGATCCGAAGCGATGTGAATGGATACCCGGCTCACAGTTTCTCGGAGTTCGGGTGTGCTAGAGGATTGTCCACTTAATTCTGGTGAACTCATTATCTACGCCTTCTATTGCTTGTGAGGAGAGGTCTGTGTTACTTTTAGGATATTAAAACTGTTGATGGTGTTCTTCATTCTATGTTCAAGAGGGTATGCTACACTATGAAGATCTTGACTTCTGGGATCACCCGATGTGTTGTGGAGTCTTGTCCGAGAGAGGTTGATCTTTTGAGATTTCTATTGGATTATGCTAGAGATCCATGCACCTTTGCGGATATTAGGACAGTATTTAGGAATGAAGCAAAGTGGAAACTACATATAGCATGTATTTTTAATGTTTTTTTATTGTACGTTTGGATAAAGAGATTAAGAATAATTGTTGATATCATATATGGCCAAATTGTTGAAGAGAGAGAGCATATGACTTTTGTAGTCATCTGTTAAATTAGCAGATTTGAAGAGTGATACATTTCTACCCCATATTTGATTAATTCTCTAAGAATCATCATGTTTCTTGATACATTATTAGAATAGTCAAACATATATCTATCTAGAAATAACTAGCTTTAAAAAAATAAACTTTTAGGCGAGTCGTTCTATAAAATCACTTTAATCTAAATTAAAATAGTTGAAAGTTCTATCACTATAACATAATTAGGAGATTCTAGAAAGAAAGAGGGAAAGAGGGAACGAGATATATATATATATATAATTAGAGAGAGAAAAAAAAAGATTAATGATAACCGATAATGGAATACTTAGATACAAGGTTATATGGCGAGGAAGAAGACAATGATGTGATAAAGAAACATCCGAAGAATAAGAAATACAAAGAAAATGTAGAAATGAGAGGGAACAAGAAGAGGAAGAAGAAATCCGGGAGAAGAAAATGAAGACAAAGCTGAATAAAAAAGAAGCCAAGGAAGAAGAAGATAATAAAGAAGAAGAATAACTTTAAGATGACAAAGTAGACAACGAAGGAAAAAATAAAAAGACAATAAAGAAGGAAAATGATGAAGAATAGTGAGAAGAAAAAACGGGAAGAGTGAGAATAGAAAAATATAATTCAGAGAAGACAAAGATTATGGAAAAGAAGAATGATAAGATAACGAAAAGAAAAAAAATAAGATAAAAACAGTCAGAAAAGACAAGAAAGATATGACAAAGACAAAAAAAAATAAAAAACCGTAAGAAGAATAAAAATGCAGATTAGACCAAGACATCAAAGAAGAAGAAGGAGGAGGAAGGTAAGGATTTGGAGATGATGAATAAAAACTGAAAAAATATGTAGAAGGAATTGAAGATGACAAATGTGATGAATAAGAAGAATAAAATGAATATGATGAAAATGAGAAAAGAAAAATATGAGGAAGACGATAAACAAAACTAAAAAAAATAAGAAGAAAAAGACGAAGCGGAAGAAGTTGAGGTTGAAGATAAGATGAAGAAGAAACAAAAGAATAATAAGCCAGAGAAGACGAAAACGATCAAAAGAAAAATTGGAAGATGAAGACAATCATATATATAAAAAAAAGAATAATTGTTGAAAAGGACAAAAAATGATAAATAATAAGTCAAAGTCAAAGAAGATTAAGTAGAAGAAGAAACATAAACCAAATATATTAAAGAAGAAGAAGGAAAACGCGTGAAATAACCGATTAGAATTACACACATTTATGAAAAAATAGAAAGAGTTCTGTTGAGGAAGAGATAAAAAAATAGTTTGAAAAAACCTTCTGTAATTATAAATATACGAGTAAATGGTAATGGTCGAATGTCTAACATTGTTCTTATATTTTGGAAGTTTTTTTTTAACAAAGTTAATAATTTAATGATGTAATTATTTTATGAAACTCTTGTGCCCGCACAAGGTGCGGGCTAATTACCTAGTTTAAGTAATGAAAAGTTATAGGAAAATTAAGAGCAACAATGATAAACTAGACGTTTATTTAACAAAATAATATTTTAACGGAAACAAAAAATTCGTTGAAAACTCGTTTTAAAATGGAATTAACAAAAAAAATGCCTGATGATAATACTGTATATAACTTACTCATTTTTCTATGTTGAGGCTTTGACAAATTCATTCATAAATATAACAGAGTTAAAAGTAAAGAGAAACATTATACTTTACCAAATGCAACACTTATATATTTAAATCTATTATTGTAAGAATGGGATAGGAACTAGGAAGTAGGAACTAAGGAAAAAGGAATAAATAGGTATTTCATGATTGAAGAAAGAAGAGAAAGCAAAAAGAAAGAAAAAATGTTAGAAATTGTGGGGAAAAAAAAAACCGAAGCATAACTTCTTGTGCTACAAATACAAAAAAAAAAACTTAATCTATATCCATTTATACAAGAACAAAAATTGTTCTACATCTCATAGATTTAAGTATTTAACACTGTACAAAAATAAGACTGGGAAGAGAGTTAAATTTGTATTGTCGAGATAAGACAAAAAATACAAAACTATACTGTGGTTATTACATTAAAAATGGCGTATCTCATGCCATCACTAACCATGAGATGGTTAACCTCAGAGACGCTGTCATAATCTCCGGACATCCACAGTCCATCTGTTCCGCTAACTCGCGGCACTGCGAAGCACGAGATGATCGAGAACGGGAACCGCGTGATAACGGCGTGAGTCCCATCTCGTCTTTCGTTATGAGCTACTCCTCCTTCTCCTGGCCCTGCTCCGTTAACATTCACGGCGGTTGTCGATGCCATCTCGGTCTCGTCAGCCACGCGTGGGCTCTTACGAAGGTTTTGGAGGTTGCGACAGAGTAAGGAAAGCATCTGCGTCATATCTGATCTCGATTTGGTTTTACTCTCTCTTGCCCCCTTTTTTTTTTGGAGGGTTTGATGAGATAGGACTTGGGAGAAAGGAACCGCATGGGCTATTTTTATTTGGAGAAAGATTTGCAAGTGGGCAACTTGGAATTTGCTTTTCATTATTAGTAGTGCTACTCTCTATCATCAATATTTTATTTTCTTACCTATATACTTTTTCAATTGTTGTTTGTTTGTTTAATCACAAATGGGAAATGGTAGGGGATAAATTCCCGCGTTGGCACTCTATTATTTACTCTCATGATTAGCTGATCATCCAATTATATTGTTCTAGGGATGGGAGTATGGGACCCCTGCAGATTTTTGAAACTTGTTACTTTAGATGATGAAACAATATTTCAGATGTTTATCTTACATTATATGTTGAATACATGTTGATATACTAATATAGTGTTACGATTTGTTTGATTGCTAATAAGATATATAAAAAAAAAAGTAATTGGATTTGTTATTAGCTATTTTTAAGTTTACTTTTAAGAGTAGGGATGGGCAATCCGATTTTATGGTTTGATTTCTCTTCAATAGGTTTTAGGTACATATTTGGGGTTTATACAAAACTAAAACCAGTTTTGGAAGTTGGTTTTGTTTCATTTTTTTTGATAACCAAGGTAATCTGAGTTTTTACCACCAACTAATTTTTAGAGTGAATGTAGCGGTCAGCTATTCCTATTTACTGGGGTTTCAAATGGGGAATGACACCATTTCGACTGGTCAAATGAGAGTTGTTAGATACTCCTATTTTTTGTATGAGACCACTCACTCACAACCGCTTGGTTTTGATTTGATTTAGCATGATATAATTTCATATTGGTAACAGTTTGGTTTGGTTTAAATTTTTAAACATAACTTAAATGTATATACAAACAATGATTAAGTAGCTAACGGGCTCGCACTAGAGGCAGGCTACAAAAACCTGTTAAAGCTCAGACTTTGGTGATTCAGTTTCAATGAAGCTTGTGGTTAACGGTAACATTGAGATTGGTTCTTAAGTTGGTTTAATCGGTTTGTTGAGTTGTCAAGACTTGTTACAAAACGATGCGCAGCAAGCAAGGGAAGGAGAAAAGTAGACCTTCTGATCGCGACAGAGGTTTTACTAGTTTGAGTGTTATAAATACTCTGTTACACTCTTGTTGTTGTGTGTGGCGAGTGTAAGGCATTTGAAAGCTGAGTTTAGGTTGTTGCTCTAGGTTTTGAGCTGTTCTTCAACTCTGATCAATATATTGCCTGGATTGAATCCGGCCCCGGACGTAGACTTCATCACACCGATGAGTTGAACCGGGTTAACAAACTCATGTGTCTTTCTTTCTTGTCCTTTACGTATTTTGCTCAACAAACACAAACGAGTGATAGCGTGAGAGAGAGAGACGTTGAATCTTGCAGACAGGTAGTTCTAACAAGTGGTATCAGAGCGTCAGGTTCTTGAGGAAAGCTTAAAACTTGGTCAAGCGTCGAAAGTTTCAAGCTTTGTCGAAGAAAACAGTGAAAGCTTCAAGCTTTGGGAAAAAAGCTTCTACCTTTACACAGAAAAAACATCAAGTTTGTCGAAAAGGTTAGAGCTTTTGGTCTAGATCTGCAAGATTTGCTATAAAGGTTCAAGCTTTGTCTTAAAGACTCAAACTTTGTTTCAAAGTCTTGAACTTTATACGAAAAGGATCCACCTTTAGTCAAGAAAAGATGGCTAAGGAGCTTCTTGCAAGCTCAAAAGTGGATGTTGATAGGTTTGATGGTTCTGGAGACTTCTCCTTGTGGAAGATACGTATGATGGCTCATTTTCGTATACTTGGACTGAAAGATATTATCACGGACTTCAAGCTAGAAAAAGACATCACTGTTCCAGACGATGGAAAAGGAAAGTCCATAGATGGTGAAGATACGGGTGCCACTGTATCAACGACAAAGACAGCTCTAGATCCCGAAAAGGTTGAGAAGTCAGAGAAAGCTATGGGACTTATTATCACCAGTGTTGGTAATCATGTCTTGCGAAAGATTGAGATGTGCACCACTGCAGCTGAAATGTGGTCAAAACTTGATCAACTGTATATGGAAAGTACGTTACCAAATCGGATCCACCTTCAACTCAAGTTCTACACATTTAAGATGAATGACTCAAGGAGTATTGATGAGAATGTGGGTGACTTTCTGAAGATAGTTGCAGAGTTGAGTAGTCTCGATGTGGGGGTTACAAATGAAGTTCAAGCCATCTTATTTCTAACCTCATTAGCTTCGAACTATGATCAGCTGAAGCACACTCTGAAATATGGTCGAGATTCTTTAACCTTGGAAGAAGTAATATCAGCGGCTAAGTCTCGAGAAAGGGAAATACTGGAAGCAGCAAGGGACTACAAAAGTCCTGCAGCAAGCTTGTACACAAACGAAAGGGGAAGATCTGCAACTAAGGACCACGGTGAATCAAGTGGAAAATCAAGGGGAAGAAGCAGATCAAAGTCTAAGACGAGAGTTACTTGTTGGTTTTGTAAGAAAGAAGGCCATATGAAGAAAGATTGTTATGCCAGAAAGAAGAAATATGGAAATGATGGACCAGGGGAAGCAGGGGTTATTGTGGAGAAGATCAGTCAGTCAGAGGCACTAAGTGTAGTTGATCTTGATGCAAAAGACGTGTGGGTCATAGACTCGGGATGTACATTTCATATGACATCTAGACGGGACTGGTTTATTTATCTACAGGATAATGGTGGTACAACTATATTGCTAGGTGATGATCATACCGTTCAATCACAAGGGCAGGGTTCTATAAGGATCAACACGCACGGAGGGTCAATCAAAGTGCTACACAATGTTCGATATGTACCTCATCTCAGAATGAATTTGATCTCCACCGGAACTCTGGACAGACTTGGGTATAAGTATGAAGGTGGAGGTGGGAAGGTCAGGTACTTTAAGAACAACGTAACAGCTCTACAAGGTAAACTGGTAAATGGACTGTACATCCTGGATGGTGAGATAGTTATATCAGAGACCTGCAACATTGAGAAGAAGATGATTGATAAAACGGCTTTGTGGCATAGTAGGCTTGGGCATATGAGTGTTAACAATCTCAGAATCCTAAGCGGGAAAGGATTGTTGATAAGAAGGATATTAAGGAACTCTCATTTTGTGAAAACTGCATAATGGAAAAATCCAAGAAACTAAGCTTCAATGTTGGAAGACACGACACTGAAGATGCTCTGGGCTATTTACATGCAGATTTGTGGGGTTCACCAAGTGTCACTCCATCACTGTCAGGAATGCAATACTTCTTATCGGTCATTGATGATAAAACCAGGAAAGTGTGGTTAATGTTCTTGAGAACTAAAGATGAAACCTTCACAAAGTTTTGTGAGTGGAAAGACTTGGTGGAGAACCAAGTGAAGAAGAAAGTTAAGGTTTTGAGGACAGACAATGGGTTAGAGTTCTGTAATGTAAAGTTTGATGATTATTGTAAGACACATGGGATCGAAAGGCATCACACCTGCATCTATACCCCCCAGCAGAATGGGATAGCAGAAAGAATGAATAGAACAGTCATGGAAAAGGTGAGATGCATGCTAAGCGAGTCTGGTCTTGGAGAAGAATTATGGGCTGAAGCAGCATCGACTGCAGCTTACTTAATAAATCGATCACCCTGTTCTGCAATAGATCACAACGTACCTGAGGAATTGTGGCTAAATAGAAAGCCATGATACAAGCATCTGAGAAGATTTGGTTCTATTGCTTATGTGCATCATGATCAGGGAAAGCTTAAACCAAGGGCACAGAAGGGAGTTTTCTTGGGATATCCTCAAGGCACAAAAGGTTACAGGATCTGGTTGTTGGACTCAAGGAAAACAGTTATTAGCAGAAATGTGGTATTCGACGAGGAAAAGGTATTTAAGGGGTTGAATGCTGAATCAGAACAAGCTACGAGGTCAGAGTTTAATGCAGGGCAGCCAAGTGGAACTTGTCATGTTGAAATTCCTACTGCAACAAACTCAAGCGATCAACAACAACATGAAAACACATGGAACTCATTTCCAGGTGGAGAACTGATAGGAAACTCAAGTGAGTCTGAAGATGAGTTTCATGCCAAAAGTGATGAACCTGATAAGGTGGAGTTAGCAGGGTATCAGTTGACTCGAGATAGAACTCGGAGAGTCACAGTACCACCAGCTAAATTCAATGACTTCAGTATGGTAGCCTTTGCACTGATAACTGCAGAGGACATGGACTATGAAGAGCCATCATGTTTTCATGAAGCCAAGAAATCCACTGAATGGCTGAAATGGAACGGTGCCATGGATGAAGAAATGGTCTCACTGTCAAAGAACAAGACTTATGATGTTGTTGACAGACCAAAAGGGATAAGAGTAATCGGCTGCAGATGGATTTATAAGAAGAAACCAGGAATTCCCGGGGTTGAACCAGTGAGATATAAAGCTAGATTGGTAGCAAGGGGATTCACTCAAAAGGAAGGCATTGATTATCAAGAAGTCTTTGCACCAGTTGTAAAACATGTCTCCATAAGGATTTTGATGTCAGCGGTTGTAAACCAAGATCTAAAACTTGAACAAATGGATGTCAAGACTGCATTCCTACATGGAACTCTAGAACAAGACCTCTACATGGAGCTACCTGAAGGTTATGAAGTTGATAAAGAGAAGGATCAGGTGTGCTTGTTAAGAAAATCGCTATATGGCCTAAAACAATCACCTAGGCTGTGGAATAAGCGGTTTCATCAGTTCATGAAGAGTCAGAGGTTTATGAGAAGTGGTCATGATACTTGTGTCTACATCAAACAAGTAGATCAAGGATGTGTATATCTCCTACTCTACGTAGACGATATGCTCATTGCTGCAAAAGAAAAAACTGAGATTGATGCACTCAAGAAAATGTTAAGTTCTGAGTTTGACATGAAGGATATGGGAGCAGCGAGTAGGATTTTGGGTATTGATATCAAGAGAGACAGAGAGAAAGGAGTCTTGTACTTGTCTCAAACAAGTTACTTAAACAAGGTTCTAATGAGATTTAGAATGGGTGAGTCAAGATCGGTGAACACGCCAATGGGTGGGCATTTTAAATTGTCTGCAGTAAAAGAGGAATCAGAGAAGATTGATGCAGAGAGATTCCCGTATGCAAGTGTTGTCGGTAGCCTTATGTATGCAATGGTGGGAACTAGGCCAGATATAGCTTATGCTATTGGTCTCATCAGTAGATTCATGAGCAAACCAGGCAAAATACATTGGGAAGCAACAAAGTGGTTACTCAGATACATTAAAGGGTCTGCAAACTTGGATTTGGTGTTCACTCAGAGTAAAGAATTCAAAGTTCATGGTTACAGTGACTCAGATTTTGCAGGGGATTTGGATAAGAGGAGATCCACAAGCGATTATGTGTTTACAGTGGGAGGAAATACGGTCAGTTGGAGGTCAGCACTACAACCAGTCGTTGCTTTATCTACAACCGAAGCAGAATATATAGCACTAACCGAAGCTGTCAAGGATGCCATCTGGATAAAAGGGTTGATCAGCGACATGAGACTTGGACAAGAACAGGCTATAGTGTGGTGTGATTCACAATCAGCCATATGTTTGTCAAAGAACAGCACATTTCATGAGCGAACAAAGCATGTTGCATTGAAGTATCACTTCATAAGGGATATCATAGAAGATGGAGAAGTAGAAGTGAACAAGATCCACACGTCCAGGAATCCTGCAGATATCCTCACCAAACCTGTCCCAGTGAGAAAGTTTGATTCGGCTTTAGATCTACTAAAGCTGATCAACTAAGGATGCGACAGCATCACGCCGGAGGTTAAATCCGAAGTATGTGCTATATATTGAGAGGAGGTGAAACTTGAATCAAGGTGGAGAATGTTAAAGCTCAGACTTTGGTGATTCAATTTCAATGAAGCTTGTGGTTAACGGTAACATAAGTTGGTTTAATCGGTTTGTTGAGTTGTCAAGACTTGTTACAAAACGATGCGCAGCAAGCAAGGGAAGGAGAAAAGTAGACCTTCTGATCGCAACAGAGGTTTTACTAGTTTGAGTGTTATAAATACTCTGTTACACTCTTGTTGTTGTGTGTGGCGAGTGTAAGGCATTTGAGAGCTGAGGTTTAGGTTGTTGCTCTAGGTTTTGAGCTGTTCTTCAACTCTGATCAATATATTGCCTGGATTGAATCCGGCCCCGGACGTAGACTTCATCACACCGATGAGTTGAATCGGGTTAACAAACTAGTGTGTCTTTCTTTCTTGTCCTTTACGTATTTTGCTCAACAAACACAAACGAGTGATAGCGTGAGAGAGACGTTGAATCTTGCAGACAGGTAGTTCTAACAAAACCTAATAAGTAGGATGTTAAAAAATACTTTTAGTCTTTATCAAAAAAAAAAATACTTTTAGTACGCTAAGTGCTTTTTCTTGGTTTTTCCAATAACGAGACGTCCTTCTTATGCATGGAGAAGCATTTTATTCGGCAGAAAGTTGTTGCAGGTCGACTTAAAACGTGTGATTGGTTATGGTGAAGACACTTTGGTTAAGATTGTCAATGGCTACTTGATGGCAAATCTAGGCGTCCTTTTAGTCCGAAGCGAGTGTGTGTGTGAGTGAGAATGCATGAGTGCTTTTCTCTCTAGAATAATGTATTCTTCCCAAAAGAGTGTCGAAATTTTGATAATGTGTTGTTGATTCATATTCATAAGAAAGTATCATATCCGTATGTATCAAATTTAAATCCAAGTCCTAACGATATTCATTGAATAATTTCACGTCATAATCGACATTATATTTAGTTAAAACCGTATGAAAATGGCTTCCCATTAATCTGTGATTCAGTAAATTTGGTTCAGTTCTTGAAAAATGTGTATTATATATCAGGAAACTGTCTAGAGTCGAGAGTACCGATAGGAAAAAAGCCAGAATTCTTGCATAGGATTAGAAGAAACAAAACTAAACATCATGGGTAGTCGTAGAACCAAGTAGTTTGTCTTCTTCAAGTGAAATCTCGCCTATGGGATGCGATTTGGTGATCTTGTTCCACTCATTCTCTACTCTGAAAAATACCCACTGAAACCGTCTAAACATCTCCATTGCAGTCACTGTGAACACCGTTATGTAGTTGTGCCTCAAATGTGCCGATAATTTGTATGTCCACGCGCACCTCAGCACAAGATTGCTCCCTATCACCCAGAAATACACCTGCAAACTCGCATAATATTTGACAATTTCAAACATCACAGAACGAAAGAAAACACGGAGGCATTTCATTGGGAAAATGGAAACTTAATCTCACCCATTGCCGGCCGTATAACAGATTTGGTATGTTACTTGGACGGCTAAACTTGAATATCTTAGTGAAACCGCTGCACAGTAGAGAGAAGTGATGTGATTATGATATGATAAAAGTTTGCAAATTACTATTTAGTAGATAGGAAGATGCAATTTCAAGTTAACGCTGACAAATAACCTACACCACCGTGTCCGCTAGCT